CATTTTAATGGAACAGAAAAACAATGTAGGTGTTGTTTCAGGGCTGCCAGACCAATGTGAAATTATCCATGGACTAATGCATGATCAGGCCAGAGGCACTTGTGTTCAAGTGGATGCAGCCTGTGGTACTGTAGGCTGTAGCCATGGAGACAGCAGCTTTAACCCTGTGTTATGAGACTGCAAGTGACCAAAGATATACAAATAGGCAACAGTTATTAGTGCTCATCTCCCAATTGGCTAAATATTTTTATGTAGGATCAGAGGGATGCATATACATTCATCATTTGAAAAAACAACAACATTCTGTATTCATGAAAGGAAATCAGAGCTAAGCAATAGGGGGAAAACACTGCAGGGAAAGAAAAGAAGAGTGAAGAAGAAGAATGAAATGCAGTGAGGGAGGCAGAGCAACATTTACTGAGTGTGTCCAACTGCTAGCCTAGTTTGACTGTGTACGGAGAGAAATGTTTGCAACAGAGGAAGCTCTGCATAGTCCTCAGGTCTGTGGAGATTTGCTTACAGTAAAGTGATGGTGGAGGTAAGATGGCTCAGAGGATTCAGGCTCTGCTGAATGCAGGCTTATGTCTAATAATCAGCAGGGAGGGACTCAGCGTGGTCCCTCCGAAAAAGAGACAGGGAGAGTGAGATGGAGGGAGACAGAAATGCAGAGCAGACGGAAAAGATTGAAAGGAAAGGAAGAAGCATGTACAAGATATTGTATGAGGTGTGGGATAAAAAAGATGAATCCCTGTGACCAAGTGGTTTCTCTCGTTTCCTTTTATGTTCCTGATAAAAATGTTGTTATGATATAGCTGCTTTACATACTTGTTTCCCCCTATTAGCTCTTCAGTCATGTGAAGTGGTGTTAACAAATGAATCTCTGACCTATTAAAGGAAACTTGGCCAATACCAACTTTCAAGGTCATCTGATGAACGTCTTTAAGTTTGAGTTTTTTAACATTAACATGACATTGTTGAGGTTGTAGTGGTTTTTGCAGGATACATTTCACAGTCCCATTTATCTCAGGGAGAGATACAACTCAGCGCTGGTGCTTCAGAGATTTTTGCCAGCTGTTCCAGATTACAAAGTACAGTCATTTATGGCGCTTACTGGCATCAACACCAACAGAACATCCTTGTCCATTAACACAAACTGAACACTCACACATGTCCATAGTTGACACGTAATACATTAGCAGGGATCCAGAGCACAGCCGATTCATGTTGCTCTCTCTCCTTGGCATTGGCTTGTTAATATCACCAAATCCACATTTCTCTTGTCAAAACATGGCCTAAACTGTGTGTGTGTTTGAGTCCAGTGTCTGTGGTGGTCATCATACCCCCAAGGTCAAGATTCTTTTTAGTTTCCTATCAGCGGTGAATTATCCCTGCAAGCATCTCAGCCAATCCCGGGCCTGAACCTCTTGACCATCTAACGGGTGTCTAGTGAGGGGGCAGCGCGGTCGAGGTCGGCAAACCGCAGAGCAGAGGCGTCTGCAGAGCGACCCGACAGCATTTTAGCAGGGACCCAATGAGTGATTACCTCGGAGCTCCAGCCATAATTCAGCGTGACCTCAATCTGCCAGCAGCGCTATGGTTTGATGGATCTGCTCACAGTTTGGGTGTCGGGTTCTCACATGTCAAACACAGGCAGATAATGATAGGGCTATCTGTTGCTCTTACAGAATAAAAACATGCATGATATGAATTTGACACTACACATTTTGGAGGTGTTGCGTCATGCCCTTTCTGTTGAATGTTTCCGCTGTGTTGAGCAGGGAATCGCTCCCTATGTAGATGTCAGTTTAGATACTGAAGACAAAACAATGTCACAAATGGTTAACCCCCTTTATGATGATCCCTGTCGTCTGTTGACATATTCATCATCTCTGTGTCTTATCAATCAAAGTCAGCATAAATACACGTGCACGCACGTGTACACCCGCAGACACACACGTACACTTCCCAGTGTGGATAATTAGTGGATTCCCACAGTGGGGGATTGAGTGTGTTGTGTGTGTAGTGTGCTCTCCTCTTTCTCTGACCTTCCCCAGTGAGCTTCCTAACACAGTGGGGTTCATAACACACAACGCTAATGCATATTTATCGACCCGTTGGCAGCTCATGTGCGCTGGATTTATGTGTTTCTCCCATAGACTGTATATATAAACAATAGTAAGGCCTCAATCACTCTTCCTCCCTTTCATCAACCAAAGCAGGAGATAAATCTGGTCATGTCAACCTGGCAGCATCCTCCTCAGCAGCGGGCCATCTGTGGGTTCAGATGCACACGGGACCCAGGCTAGTTGCTTTCAAGCCGCTCTCCTCAATTACGGCAAACGGATTTGATATACGTATGTCTGTCAAAATCACTTTGGCAATCACAAGAGCTGCCCTGCTGGAAAACGTTTTCCTACGGCAACTTTCTGATCAAAGGCATTTAGAAAGTGTTCGGCAATGCTGTCGGGTTCGGCATTGGGATTCAGGACAGACTCCCTGCACCATGACTGGCTCTGTTTGCACAGCGCAATCTGAGTCGAGATGTGAAGAGAGGCAATACCACTAAAGAGCAAGGGGAGGGGAAGGGAGGGGAGAGGAGGAGGATAGGGGAGGGATGGCAGGATTAAGCCCCAGCCCCCCCTCTTTGCCTCTGAGCGGCCATCTTTCATCTTGCGGCTGCCCCTCTAATGCTTTCAAGTGGGTGAAACCCTCAACATCTGCTCCTGCTCCCTGGGAACCGGCACAGGCCAGCGTCCTGCAGAGGCACACAACCATAGGACAGCGGGGCAGCGTCCTGGCAAGACCACATAAAGCTGAGGGGCTCATCCACGCAGAGTTAGGCAGGAACCGAAACAAACAAACATTTAAATCGAAAAACGTATTTTGAGACGTGCGGGGAAATCTCTGCTGCCAACAGCTGCCGCAAGCAGACCCAAACTCATTGATCAAATACACAAACTGTGGCTTATACTAGTAAACGCACTCACCACAGAAACATTTCACAGTTCACTCACCCAGACACATTAATTCTACTTACTACTTGCGAACAAATAAATGTAAATAGCTCTGTAAATAAACGCTTCATCTTCGCCAAGAAGAAATAAGCCCCCCGCCACCTCTGATTAAGACTACCAAAGTGATATATCTGGCACTTAAGTCTGCTGTTTACCTCATAAACACAAAGACTTCAACGCAGCCACCCACACTGATGCTGAAATAGCTCAAACTGCGTCTGCGTGCCTGTATATTTCTCTGCTAGTCTTTGTGGCCTCAACATGGAGTGTTCTAATGATTCTTTTTTTTGAATACGTGATATTTCTAGATCATTTCATATGCTGTGGCTTTTAATATCACGAGTTCAGCGGTGTTCCATGACTCTGGCAGTAAAACGACCATGTGCAATAAAGCAGCATGGTGAAGTGGTACGAGCTGTGTCTCTGACTTCCTTTTTCAGACGCGTAATTCAGCACTAGTGATTTTGAAAACCCCATCAGAAGGACAGAGGAGTGGGGCTGTCAAGACTATAAGGACTCCTTTTGAAAGAGAGTATATCATTCCACCTCCAGACATTTTTCAAAAAGGAAACGCAGTTCAATTATTGTTGGGCTAATTACGTTTGATATTTGGGATCTGTTCCTTGTGGTGAAAAGTCATTGTACATTTCCTTCACATTGCACTGGGACTCAAATGTACTTACATTTGTCAGAGAACCCCATGAGACTGAAGATTTGTTCATCTTTATCTCCAAACCCCCTCCACCCCTTTTAAAGCCCACCCACGCACAAACAAGAAACTTCACATAATAGATGGTGTGTTGACTCTTTGTGCAACTTTTTTCATTTTCGGTACATTGTAGGCAGGAAACAGTTCTGTTCAGCTTCTTACATTGTGTGCCACCATGTTGCATTGTATTGCCAGTTGAATGTAGGGAGTAGGAGTCTAGTTGTATTTATAGCAACCCGCCCACTAACTAGAATTTAGAGACCTTTCAGGTAAAAAATGACTTTTAACATGCACACGGCATAACTAATGGTGTGTGTGTGTGTGTGTGTGTGTGTGTGTGTGTGTGTGTGTGTGTGTGTGTGTGTGTGTGTGTGTGTGTGTGTGTGTGTGTGTGTGTGTGTGTGTGTGTGTGTGTACTGCTAAACACCTGGGCTCTGTTAAGTGCCTCGATCATCTGTTTGTGATCTTGCAATCTACTTATATATCTAAATAGTTATCACCGTAATAAACCATTTTTAATTGCGTCTTAATGTACGATATTTAATGTCATATTCTGTTCTTGTATATATCATATTCTATTGACATGTATATAGACTTCTTGCACACTTATATTTCTGTATTTTATTATATATTTTTCATCGTTGGAGGAGCTCGGGTCAGAATAATTTCATTGCCATTTCTACACTATAGCTTATGTGCATATGACAATAAAACATTTTGAATCTTCTGAAGTGTGTAAATAAGTGTTTTAGGGTCATCCTATTAAAATCCCCTTGAAACGCATTAGCTGTGTGCAGGGTTTATAATATTCAAGAAAGCTGCAATCTGACTCTTACTGCATTTCATACATGTACAACTACTAATGTTTGGTGAAGTCCATCCTCTATTTGCAACAAAACCTATTGAGCCATAGTGGCAGCATCTGCTCCTGACAAACATACAGGCATTAATATCGAGAGTGCATATATAGAGATGGAAGAGGAGAAGATGACAGGCAGAGAACTGATTCCCTCCTCTGTCTGCGAGCTGTCTGAGAGACCAGGCCATCTGCACATTCATTATCACACTCATGATTCCATTATTGTTCTGTGTGGCAACAAGGACTTGTTCTGTCTGGCCTTTGTTATTCTTATCAACTGTGCCGCTGACAGCCCCCTTTTGATAATGGCAGCAACACAATTAACAACTATACATGTCGTATAGCACATAACGGAATTATCGTCGGTGATAGTGACACACTAAACATGAGCCTGTCTCTTCTCTCTGTGTCCTTGCAGGTCTGTTCCACCGAGCCATCATTCAGAGCGGCTCAGCCCTCTCCAGCTGGGCAGTGAACTACCAGCCGGTCAAGTACACACGTCTCCTGTCGGAGAAGGTGGGCTGTAATGTCCTGGACACCTTGGACATGGTGGACTGTCTGAGGAAGAAGACCTCCAGGGAGCTGGTGGAGCAGGACATACAACCAGCAAGATACCACGTGGCCTTTGGACCTGTAATCGATGGGGATGTTATTCCAGATGACCCCGAGATCCTGATGGAGCAGGGCGAGTTTCTTAACTACGACATCATGCTGGGGGTCAACCAGGGCGAGGGGCTGCGCTTTGTGGAGAACGTGGTGGATTCAGAGGACGGCGTGTCTGGAAATGACTTTGACTTCTCTGTGTCAGACTTTGTGGATAGTCTGTATGGGTACCCAGAGGGCAAGGACACGTTGAGGGAGACCATTAAATTCATGTACACGGATTGGGCAGACAGAGACAATCCAGAGACAAGGCGCAAGACGCTGGTGGCTCTGTTTACCGACCACCAATGGGTGGAGCCATCGGTGGTGACGGCAGACCTCCACGCTCGCTACGGGTCTCCCACTTACTTCTACGCCTTTTACCACCACTGCCAGAGCCTGATGAAGCCAGCCTGGTCAGACGCAGCCCATGGGGACGAGGTGCCATATGTTTTTGGAATTCCTATGATTGGTCCCACTGACCTTTTCCCCTGTAACTTCTCAAAGAACGATGTCATGCTCAGTGCTGTGGTCATGACTTACTGGACCAACTTTGCCAAGACTGGGTGAGTAAAGTTTTTGAATAAGCTATCCCAATTGTTAGAGGTTTATCCATACAGATACTGCTTATTGGTATCGATTCCTATCGGTACTATTTTGGATAATCCTTCTTAATTTTAATGGAATTATAATGTTATACTTGGCCCAATGGTTACCTTTATTTATGTTTTCCATGATCATGGTATAGAGGGAATTGCCCATTGGGAGAAAGATGAAATGACATTGTTGGCTGCTTGTCTACCGCACAGGTGGTTGGTAGAGGAAAAATGAATTACCATCTACTCCCCAAAAGCATTGATTCAATATCTGCACACAGATTTCAAATAGAAAAACACATTAGGAGCGAGGAGATTTGTTTGATTTTGATCACTCTAGAAGATACTTAGATCATGTTTTGTTTAAAGACTAATAAAGTAATTACCGTGTAGTTGTCTCCTCCGATATTGAGTGTTACCTTGACTTGAGGTCAGCCTGCTGCTAATGAGAGGGTGGTGGACTGGCTGCATTGATCAGAAAGTCAAACACCTTAAATGTATGGCCTTTAGATACCATTAGGTCGCCAATGTTATGCCTGTTACACACATCACTTTGTATAGGTGGGATTAGCTGTATTTACTTTCTCTTGATTTAGCCCAATCTTCAGAGAATGTCAATCTCTCTGCTGTACAGTCCTCAGAATATAAACAACGATAATGTAGTCGCAAAAGAACATCATCATAAGCAGATGGCTGTTGGGAAAAAAATAATTAAACGGTAGGCTAATTGAAAAAACATTGCATGATTGAATGCCATTTTAAATACTGACAGCAGCACTGAATGCTGCGTGATCATTACAGTATTATACATCTGAGAGATATGGAGTACCACTACCAATTTAAGACCAGTATCTCTTATCCCAATTTAGATCAGACAGGTGTTGTTTTAAATCTTGAGTCTAATAATAGTAGAAACTAAAAACTATTCACACATATTATAGTAGGTATTTTAAACGAGTTTTAACATCAGTACTTGCAAATTAGAATTAAAAACCAGAGATCCCACGATTAGAGATGTGTTATAAACCGAAGGTCACACAGATAAATCACATCTCAGTCCTATTAAAAGCCCTTCTGTGCTCCAGAAAATAAGCTGCAGGATAGAAGAAGCTTTATACTGGATTGTATGGGACAGAAAAGGCATTTTTGAACACAGAATTTTTTTTCAGAGGTGTTACTTGCCTGGACTTCCTGGGTGCTACTCTGAAAACCTGAGACATATTGAATCTGAGGAAGATTAAATGGTCCTCCAGAATGTGTGCAGCGCTATTTGTGCCTGGCTGCGTGTTTGGGTTGAGTTTGTGTGCATGGCTGCCTGCCTTTCTGTATATTGTGTGTGTGTGTGTGTGTGTGTGTGTGTGTGTGTGTGTGTGTGTGTGTGTGTGTGTGTGTGTGTGTNCACAATGCTCAATTTCCCCCCCACCCGTCACAAAACCTGGCTATTTTGTACGACTACTTGTAATCATTTCAAACGACTGAAATGTTATTTCACAATCCTCGTTCCCAGAGAGGTATTGATCCCATTTTGTATCTCTCTCTACATCATCTGCTGTCCAATCAGGTGGCATTTACATCTAGCTGATAGGCCGTGCCGCCGGCTCTGCTAGATCCTTGAACTCCTAATGGCAGAATAGTGCAGATGGACTGATGTCGGCTCCTCCAGGGAAGCACTGAGGTCCATCAGCAATGTTCGGCCTAAACAGCTGTCTCCTCTGCCTGACAGCCATCTTGTGTCAACACATACAAAGCTGCAATGTGAAGATACAGATGGAATTTCTCATGCGCCCTTTCAAGAATATTATCTGCAGTTAAAGGACGAGAGCGCGTGATTCATTTTAATGAAAAACGTTTGAGGCCGCCATGTTGCAATGCACGGTGCTGAATCACTCTGAGCTTGGATCTTGCTACCTCAGAGAAATTAACTTTAATGGATGATGACAGCCTACCCATCTTACCCAGAACCACTTAACACACCAGCGGGAAGCCTTTCGTAACCCTGATCTGGCCTTCAACCTGGGGAGCAGCAGAAGCCGAAAAACAAATCGCACTTTTACTCCTGACCCCATGTCAGTTTTGTTGATTGCAGTGCCACTGATTTATTGAGTCTACGTGCTAAATAATGGGAAAGTAAACTGACTATACTGTTTTTCATGTTATGGGTCTATCTGCCCTGTGGTGTGTCGCCTTGGCGTAACTCCAGACTGGGGGATTACATGCAGACCACAATTAGGCACTCAGATGGTGAAGAGCCCGGGATTAGATGCCAGGATAATACAAAACTCAGTGTGCCGCTCCAAAGGGTAATTTTATCCCCGGCCAAGAAAAGGATTCTACCACCAACAAATCGGGGGGGGGGAGGGGATGAGGATCTGAGACTTTTCTCAAAGATTCTTAAGATCATCCTCCTCATTTAGACCTCACCAGGGGATATAGATCTATCGTCCAACACCACCCAACCCAATCTGGCTCCAGAGGACATCCTTTTAATTAAGGCACAGCTGAATTCCATTTTCCGTCCAACAACCATCTTCCCTATATCTGTAAAGCTTCCCTTCCAGATGTTCGTAATGAACTGACCCAGATTGAATATCCTGCCCCCTCTCTAAATCGGCTGTAGCAACATGTGTGACACGATGTTGAGACACTTGGGCTGCATGTCAACAGTGTGTATCATAGCAGCTTTTCGCCTCAAAGCTCTTCCTTTCCCTGGCTCTCATGTGTCATCTTTTCAGGGCAAATCCCTGCCCATGCGCTTTTTTTTATTTACCTCCATCAGTGTCAGTGCATGCTGTCAAATATTCTTAGTGTGTGCGGGACTGTGAGTGTGTGTTTACACTATGGGCTGTTCTTTCCTGAGAGTTAGGGATGTTTCACAAACCAGGGCTTTACTCAGCTCAGAGTTATATTTCTGGCTGCAACATTTGTTTTACTATTGACAGGCAAAAATTGCCTGCGCTTTACAGCCACAACAACTTCTTCTAAACAGTTTCTCCAAAACTTTTGAAACAACTCCACATACTTCTCCCTCACAAACACAAATGCAAGCACAGCTGCCCGGCTACACACAAAAAAACTGGCAGAACACTTCAGAAATAGAGAGAATGATGAAAAGACTTAGAAAAGATCAATCATCACATATCATTAGTGCCATAAATATGTTGGGCCATCTTCCCACAGCTTATTTTTTTCCTATCTGGCTGGTGCTTATTTCCACTGTTTTGTGTGCCACATGCTGCGCAGGGCCTTACTAGGTAGTTAAAGAGCAGAGCGCTGTCATGTGTTGAAATGTTTTTCTTCATTCTCCTCCATACCCCTCTCCCTCATTTAAAAAAAAAAAGAAAGTCTACTCGTGTTTTATGTTCACAACATGAGCAAAAAAATGCAGTATTGATTGCTTTGTCTTTAGTGACAACGGCTGTCGACCAAACAAATGTAGATAGCAGTAACTACAGTGTGTCTGTAGTGCCGTTAAGCAGCCAGGGCTTTGATTTACAACCCTGCTATTTGATTTCTTTTTCTTTGTTCTTCTCCCACTTGTCAATCGAACAACCCTCCCGTAGGGTTAACAATGCAAATACATCAACTGTTTTTCCCCGTCTGACCTCATTCACGCACTCCTTCAGTATTTCTTTTTTTAACCCAGCTGTCTAGTAGTTACATCACTCATCTCTGATCCCCCTCCTCTTGTCCTTCGTCCGGATAATCCCCCGTTCTCTTCAGACTCCTTGGTAAGAACCGACTCAACCTGTACCAGGAAGCGGTGAATGCCAGGCATTGTGAAACCGCACAATCCCGAACAGCCACCTAGCTACTCCATTAAAAAGGCACTCACTTGATAGGAGATTTGTAGCCAATACCCTGATTTGCATTAGAGAAGGTAAGGAAGTGGTGTGGCTTGTTAAGGGGCCTGGATCCCATTGATCGGTGATCTGTGTGCTGAATGTAATGAGAGGAGGGCAGCGAGGGAGGAGGAGAAAAGGAAAGTAGATCTGCATGTGTATCCGTAAGTAAGTGGGTGTCTGATTAAATAGGGATAAATACTGTTTTGTTACGTACTAAACATACAATAGAAGTGGTCGGATGCTGCTAATTGGTTACAGAGGTAATGTTAGGCAGGTGATGCAGGAGAGGGAGGTGTTTGGTTTGCTGCCACTCATTTAATCAGACAAATCAATAGCGTCCATATTAAGGAGTGGTGCGAGAGCTTTGTCCTCCAACGCTTCTGCACGCCCCAAAGTCAGAGCGCCTCGCCCTGCATCACTTAGCCTGCTGAACTGGAGGCTGCCATAAAATATGAACCGCGCATCACTCAGCCCCCTGCCCCAGCATGCAACCACATGAAGGGTAAAAGAGCACAGCCTGATAATTTGCCCGCTCAGTTCTGAAGCTACCCCCTACCTCGAGCCGAGCCAAATGCTACTAAAGAGCATTACATGAGTGTTTTTATGAAAAATGTATACAGGATGAAGGGAAAGGTGTCAGAACCCTTCTTTTGTAAATAAAAATTAGCTGCTTACTTTGTTACCTGGTAAGTAGATAAACAACTTCAGGGGATGAATTTGATACACAACAATAACTAAATGAAAAAAACAAAAACAGGCTTCAACTTTGCATATTTTAGCAGCTTAGCAAAAAGAGCATCTGTGCCGCTGAATTAATGCGTGCTCCTTGTTTTATATTGAGAAGCTATACTCCGCTCTGGATTCAGGGACCCTGAGTGGGGGGAAAATAGATTCTTGTCTTCTGCCTTAGGGCACCTAAACGTGTCTTTTCAGATTTGGTGATGGCTAGGTCTATGATCATTCAAGCGCTTCAAATTACACCAGGATGAAAAGGGAAAGGAGGTACATGGGAAACGGAAAAAAGGAAGAAATGATATTCATTCTTCCCCCTTATCTACCTTTTACATCAGAGCATGCAGATAGGGCTTGGAATAGGTAATGAGCTTAGGTCCCCTTTCTGCCACTCGTGCAGGTACGTAGATCTGGGAGTCGTGTGTAATCCAGGTGCTGCAGCATCCTACAGTAGAGCAGCTTAACACTCACAGATGCCTTTTTTTCTTATATCCGCCTGGAGAGGCTCGTCATCATCACTACACAGCATATCTACTGCTCGGTGAAATGTCTTGACATGTCTTGAATTCAAGTGCTGCGCTTGTGTGGCCCCACAGGTCATCGCACCATGATGCATCACAAATACACACACGCACACTCACATACACACACACGTACACCAGTTGACGGACAGGAAATGAATGACAAACTCCCAGTCAATCACAGATACAAACACACGGGAGTACTTAAACACGCATGGCAGGCCAAGGTTAGCGGGGGTCAGCAGGTCATTATGAGGGGGGAGGTGAGCGGGGGAGCTGAGGAGAACATGAAGGCGATGGTTTATAGTACTGCAGCCATATGAACACATCAGAGGAAATCTGAAAGGCCATTAAAACGCCTGCTTTTATGGGTGTAATAATCCCTCTCCTCAGCCTGGGAGTCCAGCCATAGCTCCAATGACCATCCGGATTAAGTGGGAGGTCTGACAGGAGGCAGGCTATCAGCTAATGCAGGGGAGAGCCCAACAGGACCACAAACATTACATTATGCCAGGACTCATTCCTACAAGTCACAACAAGGCGCCAGCTAAAGAGCTGACCACATACGGCGAGCTTGGGAAGTGTCAAGAGTTTTATCGCCAGACTGTTACATATTTGGAATGACGTGATGACCATGAGGTTCGGGTGCCTGATGTAATTTTTGCGTATTCAGATACATTAAATGAACAGGCAAAGCAATCCTTTTGTTTGTACTTGAACAACCAGCACACCTCATTTCAGCCTTTGAGGTTTTTGATAAGGTTCAATAAGTGTTTTAATTTCTTTTATCTTTCTTTTATCTCAATTAAAATTATTTGCTGCGCGGTGACATCTAAAAGGAATCGATCCATCAAGATTGGTAGACTTTTGATATCTTATCGTCTACGATTCCTTTTCCAGCAGTTTTTAATTTAATTTAGCTTTGTCTGTTTTTCTGAGTATTAGGCTGTGGATGGTCTCGGCTGACGTCATAGTCATTAGTTTTAAAAGCACAGAGTCAAAACAGAATGTCTCTGTTCACACGCGTATGCGGCTCAGTGTAGAGACACTGCACAGTTTAGGTAGAACATCAAACCGTCTTTATTTATTATCTACAAACACAATAATATCTTGGGAAGCTTATAATTTTTTCTGTGTCATATTGTGGCTGTTGCAGAGAAATACTGTGTGCTTTGTAGTTGTTTTGTGCTGAATTATATATTCCCTATAAGCATGTCCTCAGATGCCTACAATGGGAAGACAGAATAAGAAATGTTATGCTTTGTTACTACGGAAACTACAAATGTAAGCCATAAACATATTTACTGTTTTTTATCTAACCTATTTTTTTGAATGTAATTGAACCCCTTGGACCAGTCCCTTTTTCACAGGGGAGTCTACGCTGTTGGTTAAGAACTTTAACAGTATATCATAAACAAGAGATCCTGCTCTGACAAGTAAAATATTTTTCAGACCAGTGTTAAGTCTGTCAATACTGTCTAAAAATGTACAAACTTTTCTTGTTAGAATTGCAAAAACATTATTTTAAAGTAGATTGAACTTTTTTTAAGTTGCTTCAAAATATCAAACACAATTTCTCCCTGTGAAGGCTTAGCTGTAGTTCAACCTCTCTTAAGGTGAAGTAATTGGTAGCTTTCAAAGCCATGCTTTCTAAGAAGCTTTCCCATAACTGCTTGTAAGATGTCTGTAAGATTTCCACTGAAAAAGTATATTATTAGCTTGACTCAGGCAGTATGCATTACAGACCTATTGGATCAGGTTATATTGTACAGGTGCTATAATTTCCCTCACCTGCTGAACATGTCAGCAATGATTTCAGAACAATTTTAATATGTGCAGATTGAAAGCAGCACAGCACTAACGACTAATTTAAAAGTTTAAGGACTATGGTGTGTCACACAGAGGGACCATTAAGCCTTGTTTCATATAAAACGGGGTAACTTAGTAGCCCTCACCACATCGAGCAGCAGAGATCACTGCCTCCGACTCTGCAGTTCAGGGCAGGACTTCAAAGCCAGTATGCAGCCCAAAGTTGAGCAGCGGTGCTAGAAAATTGTTCAAAGGAATGCAGGCTGTTTACTATTGACTTTGCAACAATTACCCAAGCATATGTGTGTGTAATTAGATAAGGCAGCCAGTTGTTCTCTAATGCGGCAAATCAAATTAACTAAAGATGCCACATTGATTTCTTTGTGTTCCTTAAATTATTCATCTTCACTTGCACTGAACCAGACAGCCAGCCACCAAAGAGCTTTTCTAACTCCTCCACACCACCGCACCACCGCTCCTTTGCTCCCTGCTTACACTGATTGTTTTTTGAGATCTATCCAAGTACCTTTTTCAATATTTTTTCCGTAACAATTCAGCAAATTGACCCTCCTGAAAAGAGAGCATTGCAGTGTTATGGAAATGACCAGAATTCCCATTAACTGAGATTGCTCCGACCTCTATCATTGTTGTTGTGTATGTGTATGTGTGTGAGAAAGAGAGGGAAATAAAATGCTGCTTACTTGCACTTGTGTGTGTGTGTTTGTGTGACAGCATGCACAACACTGCTGTGAAAATTCATGAAGCACGCCAGCTGCAGACAGCCATGTCTCAGGCTGCTCCATTGACGTCCTGTTCTCTGGCATGTTGCACACAGGCAGATCAATATGACCTTACCTCCACCACCCACTCCTTTGAAACTTAATTACTGATATTCAGCTACAAAGTCATCATAGTCTGGCTGTCAATATTCATTGGGGATCATTACGGGCCTAATAAAAGAGGTTATTTACGGGCTGCTCTGCTGACACCGGCCCAGGTCCAGATATTCAGCTGCAGCCATCTCAATTTGCTTTACCTCTCTCCCTCCCTCTCTTGCTTGCTGCCTCTCCCTCTCTCTCATCTCTCCCAGAAGCACTGACCTGAAAAAGAAAAATTGACAGCAGGGAAACGAACGGGAGAGAGGATGGAGGGTGAATTCTTCTGGCATGGCTTTTAATTCTCTTGGCCATGTTTGGAGGTTTTTCAGCCTGTGCCAAAAAACCACTATAGGCGCACATATCCCAAAATCCCAAATGAAATTTGAACTTTGCTTGCCAGTGACATGGCAATCATACCCACAAAGGGATACTTCATGACATTTACAGAAGATGTTGCCAAGATCCTTGCGACAACACAGTTTTCAAATTCCTCAACTCTAACATTAATTATTGTGTTTTCAAGGCCGCAGCACCATTCTTCAGGTTCTTTCACTGAAAGGCATTTCCTCAGCACCAAAAGTGAAAGCAATGTGCTGCAGCACTCCCACTCCTGACATTGTATGGTAACAAAGCTACATGGAGTTTAGTGTGATTGTGGGAGATTGCTATATGTTAATTATTTCAATAAATCAATAGCTTCACTGTAATTGAAATGGTTGGCTGTCCGGTGTTGAGGCAACGTGTCACAAAACTGAAAAGTGGAACACTGAACCCTGTAGATTAAAAAAGGTACTGCAACCAGAAAATTTTCTCAGTCTCACATTCTCACACATCCTTTTTGTCTCTCACTACAACTCTCACACACACACTCACATCCATGTTTCCAAGCACACACGCACCTCTGCAGTTTCCTCTTAGTGTCTTGATTAATATGGTCCACTCTACGTCAGTACGCTGGATGCCGATGCACACTGTGCTGCCTTCCCTTAGCAATTAGCAGAGGGGCTCCACCAGCATTGGATTATCAACAACAAGATGCCTCCTGACGCGAACCCTAAAGCCTGCTGACTTATTCCTATGTGTTTACTTTAAAAGCCTCTGCCTTGGTTTTTTCTTGGTGGGATGCATCAGAAATGAATTAAGAACAGCATGTGGGGTTCGAGGATGGGGGGGGGGCAGCCACATTATACCCAAATACAGGTGGCCGGAAGAGAACAGGGGCCGCCAGAACTTGTGGTACAATTACAAATGTAATGGTGTATTGGGAAATTAAATTTGATTAAAGATAAATCAGTATCTGTTGATGCAGCTACAGGAACTTTACCACAACACACACACCTTGATAAATTATTAACTGCAGCCTGTTAGTTGCTGTTGTGGGTTTGTGTTTTCTCTGTTGTGGGTTACGCCGAACGAGATCAATAAATTCTCCAGTGGTGGCTGGACCCCTTTCACGCCAAAATATAGGCTGTGACTGGTACCGTTGTGTTGTCTCTTCAGTATTTTTATGTGCCTCCTACTCCCACATGAATGTACGTGCATGAATAATTAAATGCTCATGTCAGAATTTCATTTAACACTCCTCACTTCTCATGTATGTCTCTTCTCTTTCCGTAGGGATCCTAACAAGCCGGTTCCTCAAGACACCAAGTTCATCCACACCAAGGCCAACCGCTTTGAAGAGGTGGCCTGGTCCAAGTACAACCCCCAGGACCAGCTGTATCTGCATATCGGCCTGAAGCCACGTGTGCGGGACCACTACCGCGCCACTAAAGTGGCCTTCTGGAAACACCTAGTGCCCCACCTGTACAACCTGCACGACATGTTCCACTACACCTCCACCACCACCAAAGTGCCGCCACCAGATACCACGCAGAACTCCTTGTCCACCAGGAGGCCCAACGGACAACACAACACCAAGCGGCCCCCCATGTCCCCGGCCTACAACAATGAGGACAAAGACTCTTGGAACGACGACGAGGAGACGGGGCCGCTGGTGGTGGAGAACCCTCGGGATTACTCCACAGAGCTCAGTGTCACTATCGCTGTGGGAGCGTCGCTGCTGTTCCTCAATGTGCTGGCTTTCGCGGCCCTCTACTACCGCAAGGACAAGCGCCGGCAGGACTCCGGCCACGGGCAGCCCAGCCCACAACGCCAGACCACCTCCAACGACATTGGCCACCATGCGCCCGAGGAGGAGATCATGTCGCTGCAGATGAACCAGACGCACCATGAGTGTGAGGCGGGGAACAGCAACGAGGGGGCATTGCGCTTGGCCTCGCTGCCCGACTACACGCTCACTCTGCGGCGCTCTCCGGACGACATTCCCCTCATGACCCCCAACACCATCACCATGATCCCCAATTCCCTGGTGGGGATGCCCAACCTGCACCCCTACAACACCTTCACAACCGGCTTCAACTCCACCGGCCTGCCGCACTCCCACTCAACCACCCGCGTATAGCTTTAAGGAGGCCTGGGGCAGCCGGCGCAGGCGGGGGGGGAGAGGAGGCAGCGGTGGTGGTGGTTGAGGAGGAACAGGAGGATGAACGATTGGAGGAGAGGATTGTGTTTTATAAATATCACAGGGAGGGGGGAGGGGAAGGGCATGAGTCGGATTAAAACGTGAAGAGATTTAACTAGACTTTTACTACGAGGAGAGTTGCTGTGAGCTCTCTAGGGATGTCAAGTTGTGCAGAGCTGCCAAAATCAAACTGCTTTCCTTCTCCTGATTGGGGGAGGGGGGGTCTTTCTGCAGTGTTTTTTTCTAAAATAATCATTTTAAAAGCCTTTTTAAGCAGACTGAGGAGATATCAACACTGATCTTCTATACATAACAAAACTAAGAGAAGTGCTTTTTATTTCCCATACCTTCCTCCTGCGGGAGACACATCTCGAACAATGGCCTCTACGTCAATATTCGCAAAATGTTTTTAATTGCTTCTTTGTTTTATTTTACTTTTCAATGCCTTACAAAGCTTGTTCTTTTTTGTCATTATTTCTATTCCCTGAGACTATTCCAAGTGGAGTGTGTTACAAACCGATGAGACTCAAAGATGAGAGACTGAATACCGGGATGGGAGCCTAGAGGATATGCAGATGTAGAGATTTTAAACCCTTTTTGGGCAACTCATATTTTCTTTCTGTTGTGTACCAATGCAACAGCCACACAAACGGTGTTATCTTTTTTATCTCGTATAGAAATGATTTGTCTGGGACAGCTCCTGCCGGGAAATGAGAAGGCAGAGATAAATACTATGTTACTGTGATTGTTTTGTTAAGAAAAAAGTGCATCTTTTACAGCCAATTTATCTGTTAAGCTATCTGATATTATCTCCACAAAGTGTGCACGTACACATGCTGCTTAGAGCACCGGTGTGTTTGTGTGCATGTGAAAATGATTTCTCGTTCCTTGCGTGGTAGAAGGAGGCTGAGATAAAGGAAGAGACACATTGTCGGAACTTGCGAAAGCAAGAGCGGCGAGGGATTGAGTCTGCGTGTGTGAGAGTGTATTTTGAGAGTGTGTGTGTGTGTGTGTGTGTGTGTGTGTGTGTGTGTGTGTGTGTGTGTGTCCGTGCACCTGTTTTTTGGTTTGTAGGTTGTATAATGTGGTTTTTTGGGGGGAGGGGGCTGAGTATTTTCTTATGTTGTTGATTTTGGTTCAGCACCAGTAGTGTTTCTGCTGCGTCTCTGGGTGTCTGTCTTTGCAAAATAGCACTTGTTATTTTCAAAGTTATATATGTCTAATTTTGCTTAAAGATTACAAAATAAATCTATTATTTTACGTGTAAGAGAAAAAAAATAGCTAAAGATTCAACTGAACTAACTGACATGATTCCATTGACTTTGTAAGAGTTCCTCTTAAAAAGCAGACAGTGGCCTGTTTGCACTGAATAAACCTACATCAGTGCACACTTGTATTTCTTTGAATATATATATAAATATGGGCATACATATATGTATAGAGCTTTTAGGAAGATATCAATCCCACTTACAAAAAAATTAAAACACTGTTCAGATTGCACCAACAAATAAATTCTAAGCACTGTTGTTGCTGCCAAGACGTCCCTAGGTGTCTTTGTAAGAGCTCTATATGTATATTTATGTATACAATATTTAATATTTATGTATACCAGATGCATACATGCTGATTGTGCCATGTGCCAAATTAAAACTGTAAAAAATGAAGAATATAAAAGTTTCACAAAACTTTTTGCTCTCTTGATCAGAATTGTTTCCCTCCCTTTTATGACTTTGTATTATTTCCATTTTGAATAAGTTGGAAAAGAAACATTCTTGTAGCAAGTGCAAGTCTCCCCCCAGGACTTCCTCTCTACCTCCCTCCTTCTTTCTCCCCCCTTCCTCCTCCCTCTCTCTTTTTCTCTCGCAGAAACCTTTGAGAAAAACAGGCTAACAGCTTGGGGCCTACCCGCGTGCATAACTCCAGATTTTACTGTAATTCATGCAAAGCAGTGCTGCTGCTGCAATGGGAGATTGTGAAAAGATTACCTTGATGTGCTCACATTGCATCCTATTATATGTTATTCACGGGAAAACTGGAGTTATTGATTCTCCAAGTAAAACTGACAATTTTCATTAAGTGTCTTGTCGTAGCGCAGATTGTCTCTTGTGCTAGAGTGAGTTGCCGTAAACCTGCCGTGACCTGACCAGAAATCTGTGTTACAATTCTCGGATACTTCATGCACATAGACCTCAACATTTTTATGAAGTACTCCATTACAACTTCCCCTTGTATTTAATGATTGGAGATGCAGCAGAGCGAGAAGCACAGTCTGGTCAGCTCATCACTGATCCTGCCACGAGCAGAAAGAGAGAAGGGGTTATTTGAGGGAAATTGCTTGGAGACTGATCCATATGAGTCATCCTGTTTTTGCTCATCCTGACTTATATGGGTCTGACCTCCTAATCAGCCACCGTCTTCAACGGAGCAGCAGCCACTTAGAGAGAAACAGGCAGTTGGTTTCTACCTGGAGCTGTCTCATTCGTACAGAAGCATTTGTTAATGTCTCTGTGCGTATGTGAGGAGTAAGCTTTGCAAACAGTCCAACTGGTTTCCGTAGCAGTATTATCAGGTGTTTTCCCACAAAGAATGAACAAACGGCATTTTAATGAGAGAAAAACAAACATTTTATAAATGCCCCTGACTGAAAATGGATGCAAACCTTTCTCATTGGATTATGTCCTAAAGATTTGATTCACCTAAACCACTTTAAATGGCTTTTTGTCATTGTTATGGTGGCATCCAACCATGCATACAATTTGATATGTCAAGGTTTTAAGAAATCTCTTCAAGCAGTCACTTCCATATAATAAAAGCTGATGTAATTTAATTTGCAGTGTTCACACGATTAAATAGGATATTTTTAAAACTCAAATGTATTTAGTTATTGCAATCTATTTCTTCAGCACAAAGTAGTTAATAAAAACGTTTAACAGTCGTGGACATTGTTTACGGAAAGATACAATTGGTGTTAAACTCCATAAAGCTGCTATTATTAATATTCATATGTTTCAAATGACAAACTCTTACAAAGCTATCTCCCGACCCTGCAGTTACCCTTAGTTCTACAGAGCATTTTTGCTTCTTTTGGCAAACTGTTTTGGTTAATGGCCCACATCTTAACTTCAACCCTTTGGTTCCTTTCACTGCTCTCGTCTTGTCTTTTTAAGACACAACAGCCGTTCAGCAAAAACAGCCAACTAATCTGCATGCTACCTGCCCAACACCACACAGCAGATAGACTAAATATAAGACAGTTGAGCATGTAGCAGCTAAGAGTCAGATCATTCCCTCATAAGGGTTTGTGGGGAGCAAAACAAGAGAACATTTGACATTTATCACGTAATCATAAACAAGACCCCAAATGAATTTTGCTCCTAAATCTGTGAACCAGTAACAGTTTGCCAAATTAATTAAATGTTTATGCTATGTTAATGATATGATATATATTTAAATTAGTCTAATGCCTGTTTGCACCGCAAAGCCATGAGATGTTTCTGGCAAAAATTGTTTGCCTTTTTCCAATATTGTTTGTTTGTTTTTTGCTATTTGGATGACCCGCCCTTTAACACAGGATATGACTTAAAGTAGTCTGATCCGTCTCCAGTGGTGGGAGGTCAGTTTCCATTTGGCTCCAACACACACACATACAGTGGCACAGGGCTAAAATTGAGTTGAGAAGTTGAGAGCGAGGTATCAAAGGGAAGAAATGTCATGGGAGGGCAAGTTGTTTTTTGCCATGTTATTTTCCCATATGCCGTTAAAGCAGAGCAGATGCCACTGAGTATTGGCAGGGGTGGACCTGGTGGCCTTGGGGACACCGTTTGTGATACATGGTCCTGTGAAGAGCCACATAATTAGGTGCCGGACCAAAGGGGCAGACCGTGGAAAGTGGTGTGGTGCAGTGAGAGAAAACGGGGTCAAAATCCTTCACTTCAGCCATGAGAAATCCTGGACTAGTAAATTAGCCAAAACTTCCTTTGACAAGAAGTAGAAAAATTGCACAGTTATGAGCAAACTCTTTTCCACCAGTCGAGATTTGTTTGCAGTTCATTGAATGTTTTTCGAAAGTGACATCATTCAAGGATCGGCTGGAATACCCCGATGGGGTTTGTAACTGCCTCGACAGCACGGAAGACAAACCCAGCCTAGGAAGTGGATGTGCCACCCGGAGAGGTGTGTGTGTGTGTGTGTGTGTGTGTGTGTGTGTGTGTGTGTGTGTGTGTGTGTGTGTGTGTGTGTGTGTGTGTGTGTGTGTGTGTGTGTGTGTGTGTGTGTGTGTTGTTTCCAATCATTTAAGGTCTAATTTTGTTGAGTTACTATGTTTCTCTGCTGACTAGGACACTAATTAACATTACTTATTGGGAAGCAGAGTAAAACTGAACCAGAACTTTTGCAGCTAAATAGCCTGTTTTTCTCTAAAGGGAAATCATTCTGCTTTCCATCAAAACACAGATAATCTTTTATTTCCATGTTAAAAACAAATGGCTTGTGTTGCCACAGAGTATAGACAAATCACTGGCATATTTTCAGGTTTTCCCAACAAGGACCATAATGCAGTGGAGCCTTTTTTCGGTGGCATCAAAGCCAGATGCTGTAACACATTTTTCACTAGAAACTAGGACTGATACAAAAAAAGAAATGGTGTTTGAGCCCAAATACATCATGAGAAATCTCTGTTATCTCAGTGTCATTGTACAGATTACTAAAGATGCCCTGTTACTTCTATGTTTATGTCCATAGAATTTATTTATAATCTCGCAAACTGGAGTAATCAAAATAAAATATCTATTCTTTCTGTATCTTATTGTGGTTCTCATGAATATAAAACATGACATCCATTTTCAGTTGGCGTGAGACCAAGATGTTTAGTGCTGATAATGTTGTTTTTGTATATTTTTCATCCTACAAAATGACTATCCAGAGAGCTTCTCTGTATGTGCTGTATTTGAGTGCCTTATTGTTCCCAAATACAAAAAATACACAACTTTAAAGGATAAGGACAGCATATTTCATCGCTTATTTTACAATCAAAAGATCCCACCAACAGACCTAAACCAACAATGAATTTATCCTGCTAACAAGTACCGAATTCACAGCCAGATATAGCGTATGCCTCTGTGCCGTTGAACTCATTGCTGTCCAAAAACAATTAAAAAGACAGAGAAAAGAGCCAGACTGGTGCATTGGGTGACATATTCCTTAATTACAACGAACACAGACAGTGTAGCCCTTTCCTCACAGCTCGTCAAACTAGCAGAGCGAGGAGCCCCCGGCACGCTCAGCGACGTCTGCCCAACACAGAGCTACTGTCCATAGAAAAATGTTGCTGCAGAATTGTGTAAAAATAAAGCAATAGTATCACCAAACAGTGTGGCTTTTTATGTATTTTTTATGGTTTTTAGGGGCGATGGAGTTCTGTGGCACAGAGGCATAAAATATAAATTGTGGCTGCACAGACAACACTTGTTAGCGGGATAAATTCATTGCTGTTTTTGGCTATTTTAATATGGATTTGTTGGTAAAACTTTTAAATGCAGCAGGGGTGCAACAAACTGTGGCAGCATTGCAAGAATGGAACAACTATAATGTATTAGTCCACACTAAAACATTTTTTTTTTTTAAAGGGTCTGGTTTGTTGTTTATGGAGGTCCAGTAAAGAAGAGTAGCAGCCTATAGTTCATGTAGTACAAGCAGTCCCACCTGCCCCCGGCCTAAAGCTTCCTGTCGACTGCATAATGATCTGCCCTCTGTAAGACGGATGGCCTGGAGATACCACTGGGGCTGCTGAGACTAAAGCCTGCACGTTCCCAGTGTGTGTGAGGGAAGTATCAGCAGCACATTTTAGGCTGCAAAGTGTATCTCTTTAGTTTCCTGTCTGTAAACCTGTGTAACCTGTGTAACCGGCTTCTATGCCCATTTCTGATGGTGGGTTTAAAGAGGACGTTGCATGGCAAGGTTCATAGCTTCTAGGATGTTTGATTCCCTCTCTAACCGCTCCCATTTTTCATTGCATTATCTTGCAGATTTAGAACTATTTTGAAAGGGCTTTCCTCACCAGCTGAGGCCAGGCCCACTCCGCTATCTCCCAGTTGCATCAGCTGGAGTTCACCATCAGATGGCAGTCCACTAATGCCTTTCTCAGATGTGGGTTACTGGTGGCAGGCTGGGGTTGCGTCAGTGGACCTTTGGTGTATGAACTCGCTGGCCTGTGCTGCTCTAGCACAGACTACAGAGGACTCCCGGTAGACTTCCCCAAAGTAACTTATCACTTAGATCACATTACAATGACTTTCAGTGGCACCAATTTGATCTTAAGTGCTAATCCAGGCTACCGGGCTTTTCACAGATCTTTCAGATCAAATACACTGTGAGTTTGACTTCAGTATCTGAGTTTATATTCTAAAACATCAGCACCATTTCTTTCCAGTGAAACGACTGGAATCATCCTTTGAAGTTAAGCCTATTTTTGCCCCGCGAGGCTGAGACATTCCTTCGTCAGTGATGCCTAAATGTTAGTCCTGTGAAGTGAATTCTTCCTTTATTTTTGTTGAAGTGAAAATATGTTTTTGTGATACATGTTTTTGATAACCCAAATAGACATAGATATTGTTAATTGTTAAAGAGTTAAATAAATATCTGACCTGATAAAACTTTTACAAATGTATTTTT